CATCAACAAATGGGCAAGCTTAATTTTTAAAAGGAGCCAATAGGAGTCTCAAGGCTCCCATGCCACTTTTCCGACCGGTGTGGAAAAAGTGGCAAAACTAAGGAGAACCGAACGTTCTGCTCCCCATATGTTTTATTTTTTATTTTTTAAAATTTTATTTTTTTATTAAATTATTATTTTTATTTTTTAAAATAACAACAACAACAATAATAATAATAATAATTAATAATAATAATAATAATAATAATAATAATAATTATTATTATTATTATTATTATTATTTTTTTTTTTTTTTTTTTTTTTTTTTTTTAAAGAAGAATAGGGGTGTATCATGTATGCAGTAATTACTTTTGCAGGCTTGGACGTTTGGTTCGGGTTATCTAAGATAACAAGGGTTAGCAAGTTATATTGACATTTATGTGTTTGGTTGAAGTTATCTAACATTCTCTTGGAATAAGATTTAACCTCCAGATAAGTTTTTTTTATTTTTTATTTTTTTTATTTTTATTTTTTACAACTCTACCCTTCTATCTTTTTACAAACTTATGTTAAGCATTATAAAATAAAGAACAACCCTTCAACCAAACATCTTTATGTTACATATCTCAGTTTTAACCAAACACATGATTCTAACATTCCCATAAATTCAACATTCCCAGCAATCTAATATTCCCTAAAATAATCTGACATTTCGTGAACCAGACAACCCCTAAAGGCTTTTAAAATGATAAATTGTAATAAGTTAATATATTTTAAATAAATTTCAGAAAATTTTCAGACTTTTGTAAATTTTATATCACAAACATTTATAAACTTTTATTAATTTTACAAACCTTTTTTTATTTTAAAAAAATATTAAAAAGTTAAAATTCAAAATTGAATACACCATTACAAATTTTCACCAACTTATATATACTTATTATCTATAATTTTCTTACATACATTTTTATATGATATCATATATTTTTATAATCTTAAATAATTAAATTTATGTATTGCAATTGAATATAGATAATTAAATGTAATTGTCACAAAATAAAGCATGTGCATAGTAATAATAATGGAAAAGATAACGGAAGTTATAACGGTAGATGTATTTTTGTCCAAAAATTATATAGTACTACTCTAAAAGCACCATGTACAAAATGATTAGCACTAAAAACATGGACATAAATTAAGAATAATTTTGATTGAGACTTATTATGCTTTTAGATTATAGTTTTTTTCAAAAAATTTTATAATATGTCATATATTTTTATAGATCTTATATAAATGTATGTATTGTAATTGAAAAAAAAAAATCAAATTAGTTGCTACAAAAATAGTGTTATAAATTTAAACACAATCTCACTTTTCACTAAATAATATAATATTACAAGAAAAATAATAATACATAACACACACACAAAAAAAAAAAAAAAAAAAAAAAAAAAAAAAAAAAAAAAAAAAAAAAAAAGAGAGAGAGAGAGAACACGTAATTGTGTTTTTAATCGCTAACTCAAGGGAAGTGTTTTCCTAATAGTGTCCTTTGTTGGATTATACAAATTACAAACAATAATGACGAATTTTTTAAAAAAAAAAAATTAATATGCAAATAGTTTATCCATTTCAAATGTCATGAAGACATATAATTATTGATTCCTCTCAATATAGGAGACCCCGTCTACTCAAGGAGTCAAGGACACATTATTTTCAAAGAGTGAGAAATGAAAATGATGTGATTTGAATTATTCAAATTTGGTTGACTTTTTTCTTTTAAAAACATTATGATTAATTACTTTTTTTTCCTTATGAATACCATTAAAGTCTAAGAGCAACCACAATAGTGATTTGTGCTCAGTTTTTAAGGAGAACAAAGTTGATGTGGAGGAGAGAGAGGATTTGAGGGTTGCCGGCAACACATTGATTTTTTGTGGATCTTACGGAAGAGAGAAAGTGGAGAAAAGGGGCGTAGCCGAGCGCCCCAGAGGAACGCGTGCAGTGCACACGTTGGCTGGTGCGTTGTGTGTGTGTGTGTGTGTGTTTTTTTTTCTCTTTTTGCGTCAAACCTGCTTTTTTTCTTTTTCCTTCTTCTCTCTTCCTTATTTTTCTCCTAATTGGCACCTCAAAAATCACAAAAAAAAAAAAAAAACTACTCCTATTCAGATTGTCCTAAATTACTTTTTAAATTTTTAGCTCTAGGTGTGTCATTAATATAGTGGTTGCATTTGGTTTGAACTCTTTTTATGATATCTTATTGATTTAATAATTTTTTAAAATAATATTATGTAATGAAGTGAGCATAAAAGATAAATTTATTAAAAAAAACAAATATTATTTTTCTAAAAATTAATTTTACGAAAATTTCAACTGCTTACCTCGTATCGTAAGGCACACTTTTAAGATAAAGAAATTTCTATGTACCTCTTATTAGGACTCTATCTATGTATTTGAGTCTACTTATGATTTCCAATCTTAGTCTCCCTAAGAATCTTCTTGTATATATACCTAGGTTTTGTACTTTTGTAATCAATCACTGTCAATACAATTCATTATAGTTCTCATCTGGTATAAGTTAGCTAGGGTTTCTATCCAATGGCCAACGGATCTGTCAATCCCTCTGAACGGACCGTTTCTGATGCCCCTCTCTCATCAGTTGTTTCAACTGTAACCACCCTCTCCACGGCTAATCACTTATTCAGTATCAAATTGACTCATCGGAACTTCTTATTTTGGAGGGCTCAAGTTGTTCCCTTTCTCAATGGACATGGTCTAATGGGTTTCATCGACGGAACCAATCCCTGCCCGCCGACCACGATCTCGTCCGGCGAAGAAGGAGCGTCGCCTCTGCTGAATCCTGCCTATCATCGGATCAGGCGCTTCTCTCTATGCTCATGTCATCGTTATCTAATGAAGTTATGTCCTTGGCTATCGGACATCACACCAGCCGTGCAGTGTGGACGACTATTACCTCCGCACTTGCCTCTTCGTCTCGATCTCACTTGTTGAACCTTCTCGGGCAACTTAAGACGCTGCAATAGGGTGATGCCTCTGTCACTAATTATATCGACCGAGCACAAGTTCTCATTGAGGATCTAACTCTCGCCGGCCGACACCTTCCTCTTGAAGAACAAAACCTTTACGTATTCCGGGGTTTGCAGCCTGAATTTCGGGGTCTTGTATCTTCTATCAATGTCCGAGGAACACTAGTGATCCTTACTGAACTCTCGGACCTCCTCGGTGCCGAGGAGTTCGTCACCGGCAGTGGAGGACCATCGTTGGTAGCTTTTTCCGTCTAGAAAACTGGGCAGTAACAGCGCAATAGAGGTGGCCAGTCGCGTGGCGGCGGACGTGGCTCCGGGAAGTCTCGTGGAGGTGGTGGCGGCCGTTGCAGGAATGCTGGTTGTGGTCGTGGTGGTAGGAACGACAATCACCAACCGAAGTGCCAACTTTGTGGAAACTTCGGGCACACGGTGCATACGTGTTACAAACGGTATGAAAGAGATCCACAAGCTAATATGGTTCATTAGGGACCCCCTCCAAATTCCTCACAGGACTCTCATACTTGGTTCCCAAGCACGGGTGCAACAAATCATGCAACTCCAGATATAGCGACTCTCTCTATCTCAAACGAGTACAATGGTAATGACACCCTTCGTGTCGGTGATGGTACAAGTTTGCCTATTAGTCATATTGGTCATGCATCTTTTCATACCCCTTCTAGGTCGTTTCATTTATCCAATATTCTTCATGTTCCCACTTTAGCTACCTCTTTATTATCAGTCCAAAATTTTGCTTCTGATAATAAGGTCTTCTTTGAGTTTCACCCATCCTTTTTTTGTTGTGAAGGATATCAACACCAAGGAGATTCTTCTTCGGGGCAATAGTTCTGGTGGGTTAGACACACTACCAGTTCCAAGTTCGTCTCCTTCTGCTTTTGTTCAGCTCGTGAGTCTCCGTCTGTCTGGCATGATCGTTTGGGCCATCCACAACCTCGTGTCCTTAGTCGTGTTCTTCCTTTTTGTTAGGTTAGTGGGTTTAGCAGTGCTATTCGTTGTAATTCTAGCTTATGTAATGCGCGTCAAATGGATAAATCTGCTCGTTTTCCATTGCCACGTGTTGACACTTCTAGTTCGAACATTCTTGATTTAATCTATAGTGATATTTGGGGTCCAACTCCTCTCTTATCCTCTGATGGTTATAAGTACTTTGTTCTCTCACTAGTACAGAATTTGGAATGGACGCCCACTTTCCGAGTCACCTACACAATGAAGGTACCTCGGAAATGATATTATTAAAATAATAATAGGGAATCCGCAGCACCCTCGGCAAACGGTTGCCGCTGATATTAAATTATTTAAATAGTAATATGGATATCCGCGGCACCTTTTATAGAAGGTGCCGCGGATAATTTATTATTATTTTAATAAGTAGTTTTTCATATGCGCAATGCGCAAAAATATATGCCCAATATTAATATTTAATGTTAAAATTTTATATATATATATATATATATATATATATATATATATATATATATATATATATATATATATATATATAAAATTGTAGAATTCATATTAATATTAATGAAGTAAGAATTATAGAAATGATATATTACTAAATATAACTATGGTAACATTTAATTAAATCTAAATAAAATCAAACTTACCAATTGAAGAATGTAAGAAAAAGATATTGTGTATGCATGTGCATGGTAATAATAATGTGAAAGATAACAGAAGTTATAACGACAGGGATATTTTTGTCCAAATAATTATGTAGTACAACAATTATAGCATAACATACAAAAAAAATTAACAGAAAAAACGGACATAAAACCAGGGACATAACCTGAATGGAAGCTTATTATATTTTTAGAAAATGGAATACGCGGCACCTTTAGAGAAAGGTGCCACGGATATTTTATTATTATTTTAATAAAATTGGAATCCGCCGCACTTTTAAAGAATGTGCCGAGGTATTTTTTTTTTTTTTTTTTTTTCTTGTCGCGCGATCGAGTACATAGTCATACCCAAATTTCCCCCAAATTTGAATAATTCCCCAATCTGAAAATCCCCAAATTCGAGCCAAATCGACGAACGCCAAATCGTCCGACGTCCGTCGTCCGTCCGTCGGTCCTCCTCAGTCGGCCGACCTCCTCCGTCCACAGCAACGTCCGGCAGAGTGGCCCTCTGAACTACCGCCTCCGTCAATCGCGGCTCCACCGTCCGCATCTGACCTCCTCCACCTCTGACCTCTGAACTGCCGGCGTAGGTGAGCTTCTTTCGCCTTTTCCTTTCTTTACGCACGCATATGGTATAAAACGACGAAGCCACCAAGCCTCAATGTTCTATGGATTACTATGAGTGTTTTCATATGCTTATGGTGTAAAATGCTTTCTTTACTATGAGTGTCCTCCTCAGTGTTTTCATATGCTTATGTCCTTTCTTTACGCACGCATATGGTGTAAAATGCTTGTCATATCTGGAGCAAGGATGAATCAACACATGAAATATGTTTAAAAATTGGTTATTTTACAAAATTCATTTTCTTCCTGTTTTTATTTGTCTAATTACTTAAGAAAAAAAAAATACTGGATAATTCTCTCAAGGCTTATTGCCAATCGTTGTAAAATTGGTAATTTAGTACCAAATTTTGAAATAGTGGTGCAATTCTAGCCTATTTTTTCAGTGTGTAGTTCAATGAGTGTTCACATAATCCCATCTTATGGTTCTAATGGCATATTGGATATCACAGCCTTTTACTGTTGTATATGTTTTTGCCCTTTTCAAGTCTTACTAATAGGTCTAACAAGTTTACAGCTTTGCATAGTAAAAAGAGGATGCTGAGTTGAGTGTTTCTATTCATCATTTATCTTTCCTAGGTTGTTCTTGTCATGTTATAGAAGTACTGGTTGTTGCTGTACGTTTACTATTTTCTTCGTGGGAATGGCTGTGGTGGGGCTTTAGTTTTCATTGGCCCTGATGAAATCCATAAGTTTACTATAGATATATTTGTATGATCTTATGGCGCTGTGTATTGTAGTTAGTAAAGTTGTATACTTTCTTATTTTGTTAGAGGTATGTACTACTGGAGGATACAATTCTATGAATCATAGCATTTTCCTTAACATGTAATTCTAGTTAACATATTAACATAATATGCAATGTTGGCTAATCTAGTAATTAATCTGGTACTTTGTATTCTAGGGATCGAGTTGGTACCCTGCTTTATATAATTATATCCATCATTATCTTCTTCAATGCTCATATTTTTGTTGTCATTGGCTTTTTTAGTTCTTCATGACTTTGCTTCCTAGCAGGTGCCTCGGAAAGTCCTAATAAAAATAAAATAAAAAATTCATGGTCAGCTTTCCGAGACACCTGTGCAGGTGACTCGAAAAGTATTTTACAGGTGACTCGGATGCAGTTTTTTGTACTAGTGTCTTTATCGATGATTTTTCTCGTTTTACTTGGTATTTTTCCATGAAACAAAAATTTGATGTCTATGCTATTTTTGAAAAGTTTCGTGTCCTTGTTGAGAGACTTTTCAATCGTAAGATTAAATCTATTCAATCTGATTTAGGTGCTGAGTACAAAAAGTTGCATCCCTCTCTCACAAAATTAGAAATTTATCATAGACAATCATGTGCCTATACTCCCGAACAAAATGGTCGTGTAGAGTGAAAACATAGACATATTGTCAAAACTGGTCTCACTCTCATGGTTCGTGCCTCTATTCCATCTAGGTTTTGGGATTTTACATTTGAGACTGCGGTTTATTTAATTAATAGAATGCCTTCTATTATTTTAAATAATTCTAGTCCTCATTCTTTATTGCATAAATCTCCTCCTTCATATTCCTTTCTTCGTGTCTTTGGTTGCGTTTGTTATCCTCACTTACGTCCCTATAATTGTCACAAAATGTCTTACATATCCTCTCCGTGTGTTTTTATGGGGTATAGATGTATGAACTTACAGACTAATAAGGTGTTCGTATGCATGCATGTCAGATTTGATGAAGCAGTTTTTTCTTTTGCTACTAAAATTTCTGTGTAGAAAATTTCAGATTCTCATCCTAAACCGTGGGTAGCATCTATTCTTCACCCCATGGTGCCCAATCTGATTCAGTCCGAACCGACATAGCAAGCTGCACCGATTCGGACCGCCCCAACACTGCCGGCAGCGCTTGAACAGACAGCACAAGCATTGTCGACAGCGCCTATTGCGACCGAGACAGCACAACAGGCTATCACGGTCGCTACTGCCCGCTCGCGCGGTCGCCCAATGGGCTGCTCCACTCGACCGAACATCCGCACACATGATATGGAAACACGGAGTCCGTCTCGAGCACCATTGATCCCACTTGTTACACACAGGCTGTTAAACACTTGGAATGACGCAAGGCCATGGATGAGGAATTTAATGCTTTGTTGCAAAATCAAACATGGTGCCTGGTTCCATCTAAACCTAAACAAAATGTAATTGGATGTAAATGGTTGTTTCGAACTAAGAGGAAAGCGGATGGTTCAATAGAGAGATGCAAAGCAAGACTGGTAGCAAAAGAATTTAATCAGGTTCCCGGTCAAGATTTTGTTGACACTTTCAGTCCGGTCAAGATTTTTAATTACACTCAAACTGGTCCTCAGACTATTAAAAATTAGGTCATATTAGTCCTTCGTTAATATTGGCGTTAAGTTGATGTTAAATGAAGAGTAAAAAAGATAATTCAGGTGTTTCACTCCATTAAATTCCTTCAACCAATTTACACAGAAAGCATTCGTGTAATTCTCTTCGAATTTCTTCACTCCATTTGCAAACATAGAAAGCATTCGTGTAACTCTTCGAATTTCTCTAATAAAATATTTGGTTCAAAGGTCAAACTATTAATGTATACCAATTTAATATATCCTACAATACCATGAGCCTAAATATCACTTCTACCATAGTTTTAACCCCTTCCAAGCAACATAGAAACTGATGGCACAAAAGAAACTAATATTATCGCATCTACTTGTATTATCTATTTGAAAGAGTTTTTCACACTTTTGGTCCTACGACTATAGAAACACTTTTAAATTTTCTTCACGAGTTTCAAACCTTGCAATCTCAGTCCATGACTATTGTTTTTGTTTTTTTTGTTTTTTTTTTTTTTTTTTTGGCAAAAATGGTCCTTCCCCATTTTCCGTCAATTTTTCGGCCCGCTTTTGCCAGAAATTGTTCTTACTCCGGTGAGTAATTGACGGAAAATGGGCTGGAAGGACCATTTTTGCAAAAAAAAAATAATAATAATAATAGTCATAGACCGAGATTGCAAGATTTGAAACTAGTGGAGAAAATCAGAAAGTACCACTATAGTCATGGGACTAAAAGTGCGAAAAACTCTATTTGAAATTAAATATGACTTTGAAACATGCAGTACAAAGCTCCTCAACTGACTTTGGAAGGCTATATCTCAATAATTACTTGACGTTCATATTTCTAAAGAATTAAACAGATCATGAATTGGAGGTTAATACAAATAATTATTACCAGTTTAATGGATTGCCCAGATTTTCAGCTCATTGAAGTTACACATTTTAGTTTAACAATGCTTTACGTATGGAGTATTGGAGTCTTTTCATTTTAGAATGTAATATACGTTATATGTCTTTATAAGTTGAGTCTAAAATATCCCAATTACCATTATAAACTTGTAAATGATGTAATGGCTATTGATTGGTGTCCAGTAGAACTGAAGTTATAAACATGTTACTAGTAAGTTTTACAAGTGCTTTTCCTTCTAGAGTTTTATGCAGTTGCATTGAGCAAGCCCATCATCTTGTTCAAGTCCTTTTTCCCCAACAGCGGCGGACTTTCAGGCGCGTGATGTTGCGGCAATGGGGGGCTATGCGGAGCAGAGGATCATCTCTCACCCTCTCTGGTTGGGTCCTTCGTTGGCTATGGAAGTTCACAACCTTCGATTGGATTACAGCTATGGAAGATTAGGATTTTTTACCTTCTAATTGTTTCGTTAATTTGGAAAAAAGATCATAGTGCTTGGGCTTGTTAACAATAAACAACATAAATTGATAGTTCTGTCCTCCATTTTAACGCCATCTTGACACCAATACTAACGTAAGACCAATATGGTCTAAATTTCAATAGTCAAAAGATCAATTTGGGTGTAAATTAAAAGTCAAAGAACCAATTGGAGAAAAGACTATAATCGGAGGACCATTTTAGAAATTAACTCTTTATAAAATCAGCCAAAGGCTATTATTATTATTATTATTATTATTATTATTATTATTATTATTATTATTATTATTATTAAATAAGGGGATGAACATCTTGAGGAATAAATTTCTTTCTTCAAAACGGTAATGTGAAATGCTAGCATTTTAAAATAGTCATTCAGTCATTTTCTAATAGAGTTTTTTACACTTTTGGTCCCACGACTATAATGGCACTAGCAGAATTGATCCACGACTTTTGAACTTTGTAATTTTAGTCCACCACTATTGATTTTTTTGTAAAAATGGTCCTTCCGGCCACTTTTCCGTCAAAATTCCACCGGAATTTTTTTTTATCCATTTTTAACAGGGCTAAAATTGACATTTTACTTATCTCAAAAAATAAAAGAAAAAAAATTGACATTTGACTACATACAATATTACTGGGCTACATACTACTACCCCATGCGGCTGAGTTCCTGGAGCAGGTAAGACTGTCAGTAAGCGGTGGAGCGGTCGTGGCGTTCCCCGGGCTAGTTGGGTTATCCAGCAGCAGCATTGGAGGCGGAGCCAGCACGCCTGCAGGATCATCCGAAGACATCGAAAAAATTTCGTTGTATAGATTTCCGGCGAGAGAAGCGGCGGAGATTCTCAAATGCAATCGCTTTTACCTTTTCGTTTTATGTATTTCCTTTATATTTAGAGATAAGTAAAATGTCAATTTTAGCCCTGTTAAAAATGGATAAAAAAAATTTTCCGGTGAAATTTTGATGGAAAAGTGGCCGGAAGGACCATTTTTACAAAAAAATTAATAGTCGTGGACTAAAATTGCAAGGTTCAAAAGTCGTGGATCAATTCTACTAGTGTCACTATAGTCGTGGGACCAAAAGTGCAAAAAACTCTTTTCCAATACTACAAAAAGTGGGTTTATAATTTTGAGTGGAGTTCTACTACATGTACTCTCTAATCTTACTCATTAAATTTTACTTACTGATGTGACGGATTCTAATAAGTTATTTTTTTCATGTAAGTCCAATACAAATGTCTACGTCAAGGTTTAGTGTGTGAAAATACAAGTAATATAAGAGTACATGTAACGGCCGTTTGGTTCACGGAATGTCAGATTATCTTAGGAAATGTTAGATTGCTGGGAATGTTAGATTACTGGGAATGTTAGAATTGAGGTATGTAATATAATCATGTTTGGTTTAGGGTTATCTTTTATACACACTATAATATCCTTAACATATTTTCATATACTTTAATAAATTTAAAAATTAAAATAAATAAATAAGATAACGGTATCATATATAATTACATAATTTTAAAATATTAACTAAAATCTTGAACTTGAGAAATAAAATTATTTTATATGCTAACATAACATAATAAAAATAAAAAAATATATATAATTACAAATATATATATATATATATATATATATATATATATATATATATATGAAAAACTAACATAACCAATGTTATCTTACATTACTTAAGATTTTGAAGGGAATCACATTCCCTTCAAAATTCTATGTAGAGAGAATGTGACATTCTTTGGAAATGTTAGATTCCCTAAGATAATATAAACCAAATACCAAAATGTGAGTTTTGAAATGTCACATTCCCTTAGTTATGTTATATAGCCTGAACCAAACGCCGGTAGCGTTTTCCTTTTGAGTGAATGTGTGGTGATGCATCTGGGAAAACAGCGTTTCATCAACCCGAATTCTAATTTGAATTCTAAAAGATTCCTTTTCATTTATGTCCCACTTAAATTATTGAGGTTTAAGAAAACAACATTTAGATTCCTAATTGTGACACCGCCATGTCAATAAATATTCAAATCATTCTATCACATCACAAACACGTTAACAGTTAATTTTAATCGTGTTAGTTTTCTTTTTTCTTTTTTAAAAAATAATTTCATCAATTCTAGAAGTAATATGACCAAATTAAAACTGAAGTGTTTGATTTATCTATAATTTTATCAATTATGGAAGTATAAGGGTCAAACTGACCAAAATTTTAGAGTTGATTTTATTTTTGATTTTAAATTTATAGGTGACAGCTCACTTTTAGTTTTTTTTTTTTATTAGAATATCATCATTTAGTCCTAATATTATTGTGTCATGATAATTTTTAGTTTTCCTTCAACAAAATCATTAAAATGTAGTTAAATACAAAAACATTTCAATCTTTTTTTTTTTTTAATACAAAGTAGGTTGAACCGTTACATTTTTTATGTTTATTTTATGAAAAAATTCATAATTGAAGACCGAAATGCCTTTGTATTTAACGATATTTAAAATGTTCTGTTGATAAAGGGCCAAAAATAGTCATGTACTCATGTTACAATAATACTAGGACAAAAAGTGAATTTTCAAATAAAAAGAACTTAAAGTAGATTGTTACCTATACATCTAGAACAAAAAATGAAATTAACTCAAAATTTTAATAATAAAAAAAAATAAACTGAACAAATCATATAGCACAAAGTTGTTAAAAACTATTGTCAATGATTTTGTGGTCTAATGGCGTGAAGTGATTTTTTCAAATGGGAGGTCATATGTTTGATTCCCAGTGAGGACAATATTGACTCTATGCATGTGTTTCAATAGGTTGAGAAAGTACTACAATAAAGTTGTTAAAAATTTTCAATTTCTCGTCAGTTTTGGGTGGTAAAAAAAAATAGAGGATTTACATTATACTTTAACTTTTAGTTTACACAACGAATTGTCTCTTTATGAATATATTTGATGGTCATATAAATTTATTTCAGATTAATGAGATCTTTGATAGCTTGAATTGGACCAAATTGACGAATTGTCTCTTTATGAATATATTTGATGATCATATAAATTTATTTCAGATTAATGAGATCTTTGATAGCTTGAATTGGACCAAATTGTTATTAAGATAAGTACTTTAGGTATATTTAAACACGTTTGACTGGATGGAAAATATTTTTTAAGAAAGTCTGTTGGGAAAATTTTTTAATTGAGTGTTGTCCACTTTGAAGGATGGAGTGTCTCCAGAAAAAGAAATAGTCAAATAGCAGGGAGAGAGAGAGAGTCAAGCAATTAAGGTGATGCCTGCTCATGAATTTATACAAGGATGGGCAATGACAATTTCCTACAGAAGTGCTAATTACTTACAGAGTTGCCATTTTATTCGCTACCTACCACAGCAGTAAAGGAATAAAAATAGTAATAAATACAAACAAGTGAACCGGGTAATTAGGAGCACCCATAATCATGTAGTCTGCCAGGTGGAACATAAAGTCGACCATCATAATATAACATGCCATGTTTCATAGAGAAATTCACGTCCGCCAAGGTACCATTTTGAAGAGACACGATAATATCTTGTGCCATTTGGTTTGTGGATAATGCATGTAAAATGTGAGTTAGGAATGTGGCAGTGATAGTGGTAAGAGTTATCAAATTTGACTTCGCTTGATCCGTCTGTTGGGGAAAATAGCAACGTCAACGCACGATTTGGAAGCCTTTTAAGAAGCACGGACACT